GGGAGCGCCGCCGCGTTCCCAAGCGGCGCACCGCAGCAGTGCGCCACCGGGCCAGCCCCCTTCATTTTTTTTTTAATACATTGTTTTTTGGGGTTTTTTTTTCTTTTCTTTTTTTTTTTTTTTGGTGGCTAGCTGGTATGGGGATCGGAACCCTTGACCTTGGCGGTCAAACCAAGTGAGCCAACTGGCCTGGCAAATACTCTTTTGTTTGTTTGTTTTTGGCAGATGGCTGGCATGGAGATCTGAACCCTTGACCTTGGTGTTATACCAACTGAGCTAAATGGCTAGCCTCCAATTTTGTAAATATTCAAAAGGCACATGAAAGAAGATGTTTTTCTGTCTCAGGATACAGAGTATATTTTCAGGCTAGAGTATATTTCCATTAAATCTTCTATAGTAAGTATGTTATTTAGGTCTTCTCCATTTTTACTTTTTCTTGTTTTTATTCATTTAAATGGTTGTCATACAATGAGAGGTAAATTAAATTTTATGTGTTTATGTTCTTCCTTATAATTCCTATAATTTGATACCAAAATCTATCGAAATATTGCACATTCACAAAAAGAAAACAACAGACCAATAATTTCTAAAGGCTAGGAAACAGAATTCATCAACATATTAATAACACATCATGACCAAACTTTAGGAAATCTATCATAATTCAATATATTAATAGTTCAAAAGAAAAATATGTTATCTGCATAGAGTCTGAAAAGGCATGTCATTCAATTCAACATCCATTGATTTAAAAAAATTCTAAACAGGAACAGACGAACACACTACAAAAATGTCTATCTAAACCTAACAAGCCAATACCATCTTTAATGAGGAAACAGTATCAAGCTACTGTAAAACTTTAAAAGGTTTACTACTTTTTTGATAATTTCCTAACAAAATAAGAGCAGTACCTGATACGTCACTTGTGGTTTGGAAGACTGCATAGCCTACATTTAGTCAGAGGTAAAACCTGATTTAATTAGACATTAAATCTAGTGATCTAAGAGCAATAATGTTATGTTGAACAATAATGTAATATTTAATATTATATTTTCATATAGAGCAAAGTGAAAAATATTCTAACTTCAAGCAGTGTGTTATGGAGTCAAAATACTGACATGCAGTGGGGAAAAATCAGTCATTAAAGAATCATTTGACTGGTTATCAAGTACTGCAGTGGCACAAATTTCTGGTGACAAAAAACTTGGTTACTCAGATTCTAAACTCCGTTCACAACTGTGTTACCAAACTTCCAGTTCCCACTGTACCTGTTTGTTTTAGGAGATTCCAGATGTTCTTGCATTTATGGATCTGCTCAAGTGCACGATTCAGCAAATTGGTCTATTTGGCAACAATGCAACAGGATAATTAGTCTCAACAAAAAGAACTTTAAGCAAATTAATATAATCTCATATCATTTTCATTAGAAACATTTAAAAATAAAATGATAGTTTAAACTGAACATTCAAAAAAATTATATGGAAATATTAGCCTAAAAAAAATTAGCTTGTATTTGTACTTTCCCTTATTGTCCCAGGAAAATGAGGATTAAATAGAAAAGCATGAGCATTATCAACTTCTTTAATAACCTAGAACAGAAGAGAAGCACTTCTAGAATGGTAGTGTGAGGAGCTCCATGGACCCTCTCCCCCACGAAACAACCATAACTGGTGAAAATTATAAAATACAATCATGTGAAGGCTCAAGTAATTGCCTGAGGGCATACATTTATTTCAGGAAATCTGCTAAGTCTCAGTAAAAACAGAGATCGTAACCCTCGGCACGGTGCAGTCCACACCACATTCAACCAGTGAGCGACCGGCCATCCCTACATAGGATCTGAACCCGGGGATAGTCAATCTTCTTAAAAGAAGATTTGGCCAAGCGAAATGTAACCTTTGCTTAGAAAGGAATTAGCCATTACAAACTTTTGAAATCAAGATGCTGCTGAAATGGAGGAAAGAATTCTCTAAAGAGAATCAAAAAGAATTGCATCAGGGAAGGCAAACAACCCAAATATTGCACTGAACTCTTGTCTTTTCTTTAAAGGTTGCACATTACCTGTTCAAAGGTTGTTGAAGCTTTTCTCCCTTGCTCTAGATCAACTGCAGCTGCCATAAGTAAACATGTTTTCTGCATAATCAGAATTACTTGATTGGAAGTACAAAACTGGGACAGCTGGTAAGAAATAACCAGAACATGAATGAATAGTGAGAATTCTTCCAGGTGAACACAAACAATCAGAATGAAAATCAGCAACATCCTGTCTGAATGAGAAAATTCAGTTGGAAAAGCACGTCACCATAAAAATGATATAGACTATAACACTGATTTACGGTTTTAATTTTATATTACTTTTCATTGTTTTTAGCACCTTCCTAGAGATAAAAAGCTTCATTTCTTAACAGTTTTCCTATCTTTCCCAGTGACAAGTACTGTCATTTGCCTCTGTACTTCTATATAGTGATTTACTTCTTAGTTTATGCTATAATTTCTAAGTGATTTTTCCCCTGGCAAATAGATTTCTCTTTTGTATTGAGTAGAGTTGAAATTAGTACATATATTGTCATGGCTGAAAGAGACAATGTCAAATCTTGACAGGCATTATGCATAACCTCATCATTAAACCTTGTCCTCTCGTTTTAGAAAACAAACCCAGTTTTGTACTATAGTAAAATTCTAAGCTGGCCTGTTAGCTCAGTTGGTTAGAGCACAGCCTATAACACCAAGGTCACAGGTTCAGATCCCGTACTGGACAGCTGCCAAAAAATACAGTAAAACTCTAGGCCACTTCAATTCTTTTTTTTTTTTTTTTGGTCTTTTTCGTGACCGGTAAGGGGATCGCAACCCTTGGTGTGGTGTCGCCCACACCGCGCTCAGCCAGTGAGTGCACCGGCCACTCCTATATAGGATCTGAACCTGCGGCGGCAGCACTGCTGTGCTCCCAGCACCGCACTCTCCCGAGTGCGCCACGGGCTCGGCCCCCACTTCAATTCTTACATGCCAATGCTACAACTGCTATCACAAATAACAAAATTAAAACTAATTTATTTCACCTAATTAAAATGGCAATTATACCTAAACTAGCAAAGACTATTTCTTAATCTCTCCAAACATTTAGTGATCATAATCATCACCATCACTGAATTAACAGCATTTCAAGATACACAATTTCTTTAGGTCTCAGGTTACTCTTATGTGAGATGAGGGAGTTTTGCTAGATTATCTGTACAGTCCTTTCTAGGTCTAAAATTCTTGACATTTAATTGATATCAACATTATCACACTGTGTACTCCTGAATGTGTTTGAGGGATATTACTTAGCCCTTCCCCTGTTATTCCTCCGTCAATACTTGGTGCGTTGGTGTCTTACCTTTACACTGGAGGCTAAAGACTATTTTAAAATGCTTATAAGGGCTGGCCAGTTAGCTCAGTTGGTTAGAGTGCAACCTTCTAACACTAAAGTCACAGGTTTGGCTCCCTGTACTAGCCAGCCACCAAAAATTAAATAAATAAAATGCTTATAATCGAATAACAAATCACAAATCCTCACACACAGAATCTGCTCTAGGAAAAGTTATAAAGGAGGCCCAAACTTATCTCCCTTTTCAGCTCCTGCTGTCCCCAGATACTTATTCTATACTACTCCTATAGGACCTTATTCTCATAACCCTTCTTAATATGTTGATAACTGACAACTGCTTAGAGTATTCCCCTACCAAAGATACTTACATTTTAGTATAGGAGTCTAGGAGACTGAAATCCCTTCATAGGCAAAGGAATAAGTTTCTAGTAGAACTTTAGGCTCCATTATGGGTATCTGTGATATTTTGGTTTAGGGAGAATCTGCCCCACATTTTTTACATTATACCCTACAGGGAACAAATTCTCCTCAGGTTATTCCTGCTTAGACATATATTAAAAGTTCCTAGATTAAAAGCCAATCCCACCCTATACTTAGCCCTTTACTATAGTCATAGTGGTCATATCCTTGTTGTGATTCATACATAAGATACTTATTAGAAGAGACCTACCTTATAAGAAAGTATGAAAAACTCTCTCATTGTCACTGGGTCTTTGTTAGATTGCACAGCCAAGTTCCAAGCTGAAAATTAACATGAAGTAATATAATTATAAAAATCTACTGTTTAGTCTGTTTCATTATAATCTCTGCTACTTACATCTTTAATATTAGTACACTAGTAAGAGGTTTCTCAAGGGTTAAAAAATTACTTTAGGTTTGTGGAGAAAATCTTTCCAGATAAATTTAGAGACTCCGATCACTTCCAATCTTCGATTCTAGGCCAATGACCAATGAAGGTACTGCTGAATTTTTTTTAAATTGGGGACATATAACAAGAGTTTTTAATTGGCACAAATCCAAAAATGAGGATCACCAAGGAGTTCACCAACTAGCAGTGGTGAAATGAAGTTAAAATTCAGCAATGAACAGGGTACACTAGAATCAAAGGTTGAGGGAAACTGCTAGAAAGAGTTACATCTTCCAAAGGGTAGTGGAAGCCCTCATTAGGCAACATTCAGCATGATCGTCATCTTGAAAAATCTAAATTAAAATGCAGTAAAAGGAGTAAGAAAACACCTTTTCAAACTTTCAAAAGATCAAAGTCATTAAACATTGCTATAGTTTAAATGTTTGTAATTTTCCATTATTTGCATAAGTTTCCTAGATGCCAGATTGCTGTATTTATTCCCTTTTTTCCTAGGTTAGAGCCCCAGCAACCCCCATAAAACAGGAAGAGGTTCATATAGAACCAGTCCACTTTGTGAAATAGCTGCTTAATTTAATTGCTCTTGCTTATTTATAACTGTAGTAACTGCCTCCACAATTTTTATCATTTTTTTTTGAAATTTGAACCTATGTAAATTACACAACTCATAATTGTACAGTTTGATGAATTTTCCCAAAGTAAACATATCCATTTATCTAGCACCCAGATCAAGAAAGATCTTGATCGCTATCAGAAACCCAGAAGCTCCCCCTACCTTCAAGTCCAAACCCCCTTCAAAGTACCACTGTCTTCACTTCTAACACACCATAAATTAGTTTTGCCTGTTTTCTTTTCTTTTTTTTTTTTCTACTATGTTTAAATTGAAGCATGCAGTACATACTCTTTAATGTCTGGCTTCTTTTGCTCAGCATTATATTGTTGCATATAGTTTATTTTTGGTGAATCACATTTAGAGATAAATTAGGCCTTCTAGCCCATGGAGCATGACCTTGGGCACTTGCAGTTACAATTCATCATTTTATTCTTAGACCCATTTTATAGAAAAGGAAGAAAACTAATATTCATTGAGTACTCACTATGTACCAGGTACACACAGTTTCATTTAAAACCTTAATAACCGTATGAAGTATATATAATTGTTTCCATTTTATAAATAATGAAACAGATTAAGCAAGTTATCTCTGTATCCATAGTTACAAATGAAAGAGCTAGAATTTGAAATCACATCTGTCTGATTCCACCACCCCACAATGCTTTCCATAGCCAAAGAATTTTCTTTTACCCATTTTTCTAAACCAATGAGCTTCATTACTCCTTGCATCCAAAGTCGAGGTTTCTCCATCAAAAGGCTGAGCAAGTTTCAGGAGTGCTGCATAAAACAGGAAAATTTGATACTGAGATCTTTTACCTTATACTCTAGCCAAGTTGTTAATCCTGCTTTAAAAACAATCACACATGAATTTGAACTTAGAAAGCTTTTTGTGTGTATGTGTGCATGGGTACATACCAAAAGTAATTAAAATGTCAAAAAGCATTACCAAGCTCCAAGAAGCTCCAAACTCAAACTTTGGGGAACAAACACATCTTTGGAGAGATTTATAATTTTAATTAGTGCAATCATTCACCACCTGAGTTAGAAAGATATGATTTACAACTAAGGAAATAAAGAATAGGAACAATAGTTAAAAAAAACTGAAATGGAGATTGAAAATTGGAAGAGTATCAATATGCTGGCATAATATTTACTGAGCTCCCACAGTAAGCACAGTACAGAACAAGAATATACCATCATCATGAGAAAGCATTTATTACATACCCCACGCCCTTCTCAGAAATAAGAATGCCAACCAGCAAAGTTTTTCCCTTTTGAAAAGCTTTGGCTTATAAACCACTTTGCTATGTTTACCACCCTGTTGACAGGTATTTGAGGTATAAAATTGAACTAATGCAATAGATTTTCTAAGATATGGACATTTTGATGTGTTTTGGACCTAAGGAAAAAGGTACATGGCCAGTAGATATGGGAAGACCTGTTAGGCAAAAGGGACACCATGTAAGAAAGCATGGAGATGGAAAAAGGAATGCGATGTAGCTAGGATATTAGCTTGAATAAAGTGGACAGGGAGAACATATTAGTAGATAGGGGAAATGACACAGACTTGGGTAGAGAGATGGACAGCTTCAAAATAAGAGAGTAAACAATCTGAATTTGATTCAAAGTGTATGAAAAACCAGCAGGGTTCAGAGCATTTTTATTTTTCTTGATCCTTTTCCTTGTTCAATTCCTAGGTTAGGATCAAGTGGTAATTAGAAGGAAAAGAAGAAAGGAAGGATGAATGGACAGAGGGAAAGAAGAAAGGAAGGAAGGAAAGAAGGGGAATGTCCTTAAAACAAATTGGAATAAAAACAGAGCTGAAATCACATTTGGAGATGAATGCTAGTGATGACAAACTTCTCTCTGCTTGTGAATGAAGAAACCAAAATAGACTCCTGTGGCAAACATTAATAAAAAGCATGAAGCTTAACTCAAACATAAGGCTGGAGTCAATGTGCTCAATGCACTTGGAGAATTCAATGGAGGAGAGTGGCAAGATGAAGGACTAAAAATAACCATGGAGATATTTACCTATATTCAAACAAGTCACAAGTCTGTCCATTTCTTTCTTTCTGAAAAATAAAGAAAAGAATGTTTTCCAACTGTTCCAAAGCTTTACTATAGAAAAGAACTAAAAAGAGACACTATTTGTGCCTGAGAGCTAGGCCTAGAAAATGCAAAATTGTAGTTTGTTGTTCAAGGCTCCAATTTATCATTTCAATACTCTTTCCCCCACTATAGGATACAGTTACTCATCCCCAGTGCCCTCATATTTTTTCCTTCTTCTACTTCTATAACTACTTTCAGCAAAGGATTTCAATGACTGGTAAGGTTTTATACTACAGGATTATAGAATCTAAGAACAGGTAGTGACCTCTGTGATTTATAAGTTTTTTTTTTTTTTTTTAAGGGATAATTAGAACTCTTGTTTCAAATAAAATTGTATCAAAGTCTAACATACAAGAAGAGATAGGCCGGCCCGGTGGCGCACTGGATAAGTGCGCCACTTGGGAAGCGCGGCGGCGCTCCCGCCCGAGGGTTTGGATCCCACATACGGACCGGTTCCCGCTCACTGGCTGAGTGAGGCGCGGGGGCAACACCGAGGGTTGCGATCCCATTGCCGGACACGGAAAAAGACAAAAGAAAAAAAAAAAAAAAAAAAAGAAAAGATAAAAGCTGCTCTGGTTGAACAAGGGGGAGGTAGAGGCCTGGAGCCTTACCTTCCTGGAAATCCTTGAGGCAGTGCCACAAAACTTCCAGGATTCTGAGAAATGCAATTTTAAAAACCACTTCTACAGTACAGACCCCTCATTTTATAGATTTCGAGCAAAAAAACCTGGTGATGGGAGATGATCTATCTAAGGTCATTCAGTTAGTGACAATGTCAAGACTCTTGATCCTCTGTTAAGCTCTTAAAGGGGTATATAAATTTTAATAGAGGACTTCTGGTTTCCAGTTCTGCGTGTAAGGAGCTTGGAAGTCACCACTCTGTCCTAACAACAAGTAAAAAGCTGAGCAGACAGAAAGAATCAACAACTCTTCTTGGATCCATAAGAGAGGTAAGGAAAAAGGGCAAACTACTGACCCAAAGATTGGAGGAACAGAGAGGTGAATACAGGGAATCACAGCTTACTGGAGTAGAGACTCAAGAATAGAAACCACCACGGAAATCAGTGTTAGAGTAGGAAAACCTGAATGCTGCTTGGATGGACCAAAAGTACCCGCTGGTCCAGCAACATTAAAGGGCTCCAGGACCAGCTGGTTAGCTCAGTTGGTTAGAGCATGGTGCTGATAACACCAAGGTCCAGGGTTCAATCCCTGTACTGGCCAGCCACCAAAAAATAAATAAATAAATAAATAAATAAATAAATGGCTCCAAATCTCCTGGGGCAATAGTTAAGCAGATTAATCATGAAAAAGATCAATGAAAGGGCCATGATCCCTTGGCTCTGCCTCTCACTAGGGACCCAAAGCTCTTTACACATGAGTGGGTATAATGGTCAGGGGGCAAAGAAGAAAAGTTTGCCGGACTTCTTGACATAGGAGCTCCATGCACTATAGTAACAAAACTCTTTTGGTGAAGCCCTAATGGGAGCTACAATTAGATTGAGAAAATATAGAAACATAAGGGTTAATAGAATTAAGGTGGATGTTTGGACGAAAATTGGAATATTTAAACAGGCTTTATGTGAAGAGGTTGTGTCTCCTTTATCTAAATGTTTTATTGAGAATGGACAGTATGTCTAAGAAACACCTCCCTTTCCTAGTATTGTAAAACCAAAACCTGTCAGTGAAGTCTTAATGGAAGCTACAGTTAGAAATGTAAGGGCTGATGGGATTAACGCAGAAGTTTGGAGAAGAATTGGTGTGCTCGAACAGGCTTTACATGACATGATTGTGTTATGAAGATATTATATCTGACTAGAGAATGTTTCTCCTACCTATTGTTATAAAACAGAAGGCATAGAAATCCATCCATCAGGTAAAGTTAATTGGATAAGCTAAACAGGCCATTTGAGGGCATTAATTGAAACTTCCCTATGATTAAATGATTAAAGAACATAAATTTTTTTTTTTTTTTTTTTTTTGCACCTGGCTGATGCAGGGATAAAATAATCTTGAACCTGAAAATACCCATGATGTCTTGAATGATGTTGGAAAAACATTCTAATGGGGAGGGCAGTGCCCAGAAGAGCTCCATAATAAAATGTAAGTGGTTTATACATGATCATGGTTGCTACCTGCAGAATGCAAGAAGGACTGACTTTGGAACTGCATGAAAAGCTGTTGAGTTCTATTGTCACAGGACTATATAAACAGCTCTCAACTGACCGACAATGAGCTGCTTAGTTTATGGATGGCAGTTCCAAAGTGAATGGAGAACACCTGTTTGGAAGGCCACCACTCTGATCAAAGAAGGTAAAAACAAATCAGCTCGGCAGGCTGAACTGCATGCTGTTTTCCTAGCAGTTAGGAAAGAATCGAACAGTGGTAAAAGACGCTATGTTTGGGTTTTTACTCACTCACAGGCAGTGGCCAATGGCCTGGCCATATTACAGTCAGAGAGAAGGGAAATGCAATACTGGCCTATTAAAGGGAGGCCTGTATTAAAGGTAGCCCCAGGGGTCTTCCAATGGGTATGAGTCTTGACACGAATAGACACTGACTCTGGACTGAGCTTTGCTTACCCAGTGGCAGATGCAAATGCTCAGAGTGCTATAAAAGAAACAGTACAGAAGATACTGCACCAATTTCACCTGCTGAATCATATTTCTTCAGACCAAGAAACACACTTTACAGCCCATAATGTCCAACAATGGGCAGAGATATCCTCCTCAAAATAATGGATATGGAAGTGGAACAGGCAACTGAATCATTGGTTGTCTAAAATGGGAGGAGATATAGGCATAAAGGGTTGGCTTACACACCTCTACAAACGTGTGCTCACACTCAACATGGTGGGGGGAGCTAAGGGAGTGTCCCCACTAGGCAGACTCTTCTGTTTTTCTAGTGAATCGGGGGAAGAGGAGTTGAGGAAGGATGCTGGTATGACTGTACTTCTTCCCAAGGGGATAAAACACTGGTATGATGACTATACTTTTTTTTCTTTTCTTTCTTCCCCACATCACCTGAACATTGTTTCCTACCTGATGAAGTGGCTACAGGACCACTTTATCAGGTAGGAAACTACAACTGCTTTACTGTAAATAGGGATGATTTGTAAGCAAGAAACTGTAATAATATTTTTAAGTCTTTATGTTAGAATTCCTAAGGGCCTCATGGGGCAGGCTGTGACGTCGCCCCATCTGGCAAAATTGGGGTTAAGAGTAAATGCAGCCGTATTGCCTAATGATCAAGATAGCTCAGTAGTTCTGTATCTGTGTAACCCTACCTTACATTAATGGGAGTGAACTGAGAGGGAGGCATTTGCTGGACTAGTATTGCCATCTGCAACCTGGACCAGCCCGGTGGCTGAACCTAATGTTCCTTTCAAATGTGTAAAAATTTGGTTATAAGTGGAGAAAAAGAGCTGAGGGTAAGGAATGAACAAATGGGTTATGCAGTAAGGGAAATCCAATATTACATCAAAACCTTAAAAGAGGCTCAGAGGAAGAGATGATATTCTCTCAGCTCAATTATACCAGATGTCTGAAAAGGTGAAGCCATATATTGCTGAAACCACTCCTGCTTTTGGAACCTGACAAGATCAAATAGAAGCCTGGAAACCTCAGTGACCTCACCCTGGGAGATAATTTCATATGATATGATGATGGACTGGGCAAATTATTAATGACCGAATGGGACTCCAGTAATGTACCAGTATCTTTTAACTGTTACAATCCTTTCGTTATAAGGGATCCCATGGTCAAAGACCAGGGGATAGCCTGTGGTATAATAAGAGTGTTTTGTCTTTGTCCCTGGGTCCAGCACAAAGGTCCCAAAAACCCTTGCGAAAAAAGAATGGGTCAAAGACTTTAACAGAAACCTCACCAAAGAAGATATACAGATGGCAAATAAGCATACGAAAAGATGCTCCACATCATATGTCATCAGGAAAATGCAAAATAAAACACCAATGAGATACCACTACGTACCTATTAGAATGGCCAAAATCCAAAACACTGATAGCACCAAATGCTGGTGTGGATAAGCAGCAACAGAAACTCTCATTTGTTGGGCCAGCCCGGTGGCGCACTCGGTAGAGTGTGGCGCTTGGGAGTGTGGCGGCGCTCCCGCCGAGGGTTCGGATCCCATATAGAGACCAGTCCGCTCACTGGTTGAGCGCGGTGCGGGTGCGACACCGAGGGTTGCGATCCCGTTGCCGGTCGCGGTATGGGCGCGACACTGAGGGTTGCAATCCCGTTACCGGTCGAGGTACGGGCGCGACACTGAGGGTTGCAATCCCGTTACCGGTCACGAAAAAAGACAAAAAGGAAAAAAAAAAAAGAAACTCTCATTTGTTGCTGATGGGAATGCAAAATGGTACAGCCACTTTGGAAGACAGTTTTGGCAGTTTCTTACAATACTAAACATAGTTTTACCATATGATCCAGCAATCACGCCCCTTGTTATTTACTGAAAACTTATGACCACACAAAAACCTGCACATGGATGTTTATAGCAGCTTTATTCATAATTGCCAAAACTTGGAAGCAACCAAGATGTCCTTCAGTAGGTGAATGAATAAATAAAATGTGGTAAATTTATATAATGTAATATTATTCAGCACTAAAAAGGTACAAGCTATTAAGCCACAAAAAGACATGCAGGAACCTAAATGCTTATTAATAAGTGAAAGAAGCCAATCTGAAAAGGCAATATACTGTATGATTATAAGACATTATGGAAAAGGCAAAACTATGGAGACAGTAAGGGGTTGATGGGGGAGGGGTGAATAGGTGGAGCACAGAGGATTTTTAGGGCAGGGAAACTATTCTGTACGATACTGTAATGATGGATACATGTCATTATACTTTTGCCAAACCCACAGAATGTAACACATCAGGAGTGAACCCTAATGTAAACTATGGAGTTTAGGTTGATTATGATGTATCAATTTAGGTTCATCAAT